ACACAAGTTCAATAGAATTGATGAACCAGCCTAACCCTAACATGCCTTCTTGGGCAGCTGTGATGTATTTTGTGTACAAATGGGGCTCTCAGAACACAAGTGGAGTAAGTGCAGAACAGTATTGAGCTTTTCTGTGCTTTCTTGACTAAATATCACTTGTGTTCTGAGTGCTCCAAATGTGAATGGCCTTTCTTTATTTTTATTCAGATACATATGGAACATATAATTCAGCATATGGCAGAAATGGCTTCCTTAGGTACAGCATTTGTTTTCCCTGTATAACATTAACAACTTGAGCTCTAGCAATTCATCCAACTAGTACTGTGACGTGTCATATCTCCTGGAACAGTAAAGGGTCAAGCTTAAAACTTTTTCTTGTGATAATATTACATATTATTTAAAGAATATGGTATTTCAGAATCTTTTTGTAACAGTTATGTGGCAAATGCAAAATTTATACTTCCCTTTTGTAGACTGGGATATGTCCCAATGTAACTTCACAGTTCTTTTCATGCTTCTAGCCTTTGCACTGCTCCGGGTGTGAGAGCAGTATTTGCTGAAATGTATGTGGTATAAATGAAGAAGGTCTTTTTAAAATACATCAAAGTTTTAAGCTAGTTTACATGCAAGTCATGAGGCATTTTCTGTGAATCAGGCATTCTCAACCCACTACCTGCGGGCTGCTTTTGGCCTGCCAGTATTTTTGTGTGGTCCACATACATTTTTGTAAATATTTACAGCATGAATAAGGCATATCATTTTAAGTAAATAATTAATTAAAGAACTAATCAGTAAGTTTGTTAAAGAAAATAATTGAATGTAAACCTATATGCAATAGAAAGTTTGTAGCATTTTAAATAAATTTACTTTATTTATATATAACCCATTAGCCTGCAAAGTAATTAGACAAAGTGAATGCAGCCCCAGGTATTAAGAGGTTGAGAACCCTTCCTTTAAACAGCCAGATTCCTACACTCTCAGGGGGCTAATCCCCCTTGTCACCATCATTGTGTGTGCAGAGTAGATTTTGATTTTAGGTTGGGTGGTCATTATGGTGAAACTGGCAAACAGCAAAAATTCTTTGTGTATTGCTGCTTTGTTGGTCATAAATAAGAAGGGAGATTTTGTTTTTGTGTGATGAGTATTTGTGGAACTCCGATATGAGACTTTGTCACAAAGAAGCAAACACGGTGGAAATCAGAACTTAAAGTCTACACAATTATTTTTGAGTACTGATGGTTGATGTGCCAAAATACTGTACATTTATTTTGCTTTAAACTTTCTGGAAGTGAATTTAGGTAAGTATATGAAGTTAACAGTTTATTTTAAATTTGACATTAGACTGATTTTATTTTAATATTGTGGCTAAGTCTCATGTGCAACAAGAAAATTGGTAGGAGTCAGATGACTTGAAGGAACACGTATCACTTTCTGATCTCTTGTTGATCACTTTGATCTGCAAGGGCCATGAATTATTTTGGTTTGAAGTGATAGAATGCAATTTACATCATACACATTTTAATTTTCTATTTTCTGTTTATTTAATTTTGTGGTGTGTTTAATTATGTCATAAAGGTTTGATTTCTGGAGGTTTATGGGCTGCTGTACAGAGCTAGCCACTTACCTGAGGTTAAATTCAAGTGGAACTTTGCCTCAGTGCCCCTAATGTGTGTTCATGGCATTGTTCTTTTTCTACCATTATGTAAATTCTGGCTAGCCTCATGTGGGTCTGGCCAGTTGATTTGTCAAGATAAGGAAATCAAAATGATCACATTGATTGGAAAATTGACAACCCATCAGTTTTTTTGTTTTTAACTGTCATGCAAAATCAGGTTTGTAAGTTAATATAATTGCTAGAAGGGTACAGACTTATTTTGTGTATCTAGTCCTGGAAGAGAAGCAAATTTTGGAATTTTATTTATGAAGTGTTGACATTCAGAAAATCAAATGTAATTTGATAATTAGAGCAGAGCTATGGAAATTATCTTACAGTTAACCTGTTTGTTTGGGATATTCAGGTTAATGTTCACAAAACAACATGGCAGACTGTCCAGAAAACAGGAATGAAGATTGTTTCTCAGGAAAGAAAATAGAATCTGTCAGTTTTCAGTTTACATTGCTATTGTGATACATTTGTAAAATAGTTATGTGTGTTCCTGATGTGCCCACCAGCTCCTGTTGAATCACAACATTCCTTAACTTCTCATAAGACAAAATCTGTCAGAACTGAAGACATTCTGGAACTCAGGAATTCAGATAGACTTACTAATTAGCAATTTTCTTCATGGAAAATAAAATTTGTTTGAAACCTGAAGCTTCCCAGATGTAACTTGTGGCTGTGGCTTCCGTGCTGCCTGGTAGACTTTAAAGGCTCTCCATAGTACATACATCAGTCAGCTTCCTTCTTGTACTCTAATTATGAAATTAAAATGTGTTGTGTTGTACAAGAAATACTCATTATCTTAATTTAATGTTATTTTTGTTCAAAACTGCAGTGATTGTAGGTAAAGTAGTAGTAGTCATTAATCAGAAGTTCTGTGGTTAATTATTTTTTCACTCAATGTATGTCAGACAGTATCCTTTTGATTTATTGTTCTTCCACACATACTTCTTCAGGAATTGTAGGAAATTTTTGGATTTCCAGTACTGATTGAAGAGAGACTAATATTTTCACAAGTCCTGCATAGAGATGTAAAAAACCTGCCAATTTGAGAGATTACTTTATATGTAGAGAGGCTATACAGTCTCATTTACAATTTATTTAGGTATAACTTAACATATTTTAACTTCAATGACTTGGGTTTCAAATGATTGGTAAGATTTTGTATCAAGTAGGGAAACTTTTTGCCATTAAGGACTAAAACAAGGTGTAGCAGAAGATGGCTGTCTTCTGGGTTGTTGGACCATGTAGTGTGGTAGAAGTTTATAAACGTTTCAGAGATCCTTGCTGCCTCCATCATCAGGGCTGTGTCTTATCAGCCTGGTGATGGAGACATCAAGAACCTCTGAAACGGTGGTAAACTCATACCAAACTGCACAGTACAACAATGCAAAAGACAGCCATCTTTGCACTCACCACCGTGAAAACCTCAAATCCTTCAAGGTGTAGCAGGTTCCTGTACTGCAAAGTGAAAGTAATCCAATGACTTATCCATGATCATCATACAAAGTATCTGTTGATACCACAGAAAACTATAATGTGAAAGTGCAGTGACTGCTTCATATTATGTTGATTCATATATTTATTTTATTAATTATAGCAGGGCTTCTCATAAGGTAATATAAACTTCTGTACTTTGCTCAGCAAAATTACAGAAGTCTATACATATGTTGGTATTCAGGAGCCTCTGTGTTTAAGTATGGACCATTTGTGATTATTTCTAATACAGTGTAAATTACCCACATCTCCCAAAGAGAAATCATGTCCGGGACCTGACATAACAGGGAGGGTTAGTGAAAATGACTTTCATTAATTTAGTGGTGTAATGGTTACAAACATTCTTGCTTCATACTAATAGATCCTGCACCTGGATTCTTGTTCCAAAGACTGCTTATTCCTGTTGTCAATTTTTGTGGTTTTTCTCATTCAATACAAATGAAATCCAACCAAACCAAACTTAAAATTTTGTTTAGAATTACTTTGTATTCACAAAGTCCTCATATTACAGGTACTGTCTTAGAGATGTTTGTAACAATCATAAATGAACCAAATAATGTTGGCATAAACCAACCATGCCAAGATCAGGAAATGTTGCTTCATATTTAGAGCAAGTAAAGAGAAAAATGTCTGTGTGAGAAGTTGAGTATTGTATGTAGTGAGATATTTTGTGGGCAAGCTTAATTGATATTAACAAACTGCCTTTTATAGTACAATATGGAGGCCAGACCTTCCAAGTAATGCAGACTAAGTTTAATCTATAAATTATAATCCAGAAGAGGTTATGAATCATGGTATATATTTTATCTAAAGTTTTATGTTACATGTTATGTATGAAAGAAAATATTACTGTTTATTATATTAATTATTATTATTAACAAACTGAAAATTCCTCTGTATGTAGTATAGTGTCACCATTTTCTTCACAATTAATTTTTGCAAACGTTTAAGTTTTGTTTATTTGTAAGTAGAAATAAGTAGTGAGTAACCAATGTTTATAAGTTTGGTACTCATATGCGGCTGCAATTTGAACCTTGGGCTCAGCATTTAATCAGACAATTTTGGCTATGTAAATAATTTAAGGCAAACTGGAGACAAAAGATTATTGTGTCACTTGTTTTCTGAACCTTCATATCCAGAATTCAGGTTATCTTGAAAAGATATTGAAGTTTCTGAATAAAAATCCAGCATATGGAGTGAATCTATGATTTTGTTGAGACGATACTGTCTTATAAAGCTGCTATGCATATATGTGAGACAGATCTGTAGTTTTATTGCTAACTGTGGCTATCATCGGTATTTTTGAAATATTTTATAACTAATGTAACATAAACATTTATTGAAGGATAATGTTTGTTTTGTTACAGTTAATGTGTTATGTAACATGTAGAAGATTCTGCTACTAAAATTGAATGTATGAAGGTCATTACATTTATAAACAAATTAGTTTTATATTATCCCATAATACAGTGATATAGAGGTGGAAAATGTTAATATTGAAGAGTGATATATTAATGGAAAATGTTAATATTGGAAAATAATGGATATAATTGGAATTCTTTAGTGAAGTTTATAAATTACTTTGCTCTTTATTATACAATTTTCTCCAGCCTTCTGTCACTTCGTCTTTTTCTCTCTGTAGCTTTTTAGGGACAGATATTCTCCTTTGCACCCTATTTTCAGACACACTCAATCTGTGTTCTCATAATATTAGGGGCCAAGTTTTACAACCATATAAAATTAAGCGGGAAATTTAAAGTTTTGCGTATTTTAATCGTC